GCTCAAATTTGCAGTGCACATTTGCCCGTCATCCAGAGTTCCCACAGTGCTGCTGTGGCCGGGTAGCGCCCCGCTCAGGTGTGAATCTATTTATCCTCATTAACAAGCGTCTCCCCAAAGTCAGCCAATTAACACGCTGCTCCTAATGAAGCCATTAGCTGTCAGATGAGGTAGAGGCACTGCTTGTCATCGGCCCACTGTGTGTACGTATATGTGTGTGTGTGTGTGCGCGTATCCACTCTTGCTGCTAATAAAAGCACGAGAATTAATGGAGTGAGCGTGTGTGATAATGAGTTAATGTGGAACAAGCAGTACGAGCAGTGATCAGCCCTCTGTCTCAAGTGAAGATATCAGACACAGTGATTTACTCTGAGCCATAAACAGGCCTTTCTCCTCTCACATATACCACTAATGTGTGTGTGTGTGTGTGTGTCTGTGTGTGTGCTCCTTCAATACATGCTCACAGGGAAAGTGGGATGATGAAAGCTCCTCTTTAAACACAGCTCAGGCCACTTGTCTCTGTAGTTTTGGAAATCAGGCCTTTTTCTTTTTTCAAATGTTGACCCCCTGCGGCCTGGTGTGACCCACCTGACCTCACATCAAAGTTTTGCAGCCTCAAAAATAACAAACTGCGGGTGTCACTGGGTGCCCATGTGTTCCTTAATGGAGCTATCACACTGCACAACCTTAATATGGTTTTAATTGTCAAAGTAATTGCAAAGACATGAATGGCAGAGCCTCGGCAGAGACGAACAATAAGATCACAGAGGCAGCTGTTCTACTGACACCATTTTCTCTTCAGTCTTTGTCAGTGGTTGAATATTAAAAAAAACTGGAGATAGCAGGTTTCTGAGAGGCTGCACTGATCTAAGGAGAAGTTAAAAAATTAAACTGAAAAAAAAACAACGGAATTTTAGATTTAACCAGTGGCTACAAAGAGCCACACAGTATTTTCCATTCCTGATTCTTATAGACTCTTATAGCCTGGTTGTCTTACAGCACCCAGCCCCCACCCTGCACACCGCACTGGAGCTGCCCAGCCTCGTCAGGGGATGCCAGAACTGAGGATGTGAAATTGATTTTAGGTTACGCAGTTAATCGCATTAAACATTCTTCCTCTTCTTTAACAATCCCTGCCTTCCTCATCCACTCTGCTCTCTCCTCTCCTCCAATCAGTTCTGTCCCCAAATACACTGTCATTACCAAACAATGGTCCCTCTGCCCTCCAGTCATCACTTATCAAGTTTGGCCACCTTCACTTTGAAGTTCGTGTCAGTGCCCTGCAGAGGTGAGAGACGAGCTGACCTGCTTTGTATTTCCATATCTACGCAAGTACACGAGCAGAAGCCGAAGAAACCGCGTGTGAATCCCTGCAGGTGCAACAAGTGTGAAAAGCATATCCAAAAAATGTGTTTGAGCAATTTCAAACATGCAAATTGTGGTGTGAAAACACCAGAAGTCTGTCGCTCCAGATCAAATCAAAGCCTCGCTCGCTCTCTGAGGTCAAAGAGTTGTTCATAGAATAACAGTTTCTGAACTATTGAGTGTCACTGTCAGAAGTTTAAGCTTCATCAAAGTCTGGCAAGGCCTTGATTTTAGATTTTTCAGAGTTGATATGAGTCTGTCGTTATTTGTTGGCTACAGCAGAGGCCTGCAAGTCTGATCAACTTCTGTAAATCATTTATATCAGCATATTTTATCTGCTCCCTCTATAGTACTGTCACTTGTGGAAGAACAGTAACTGTGTTTTTAAAGATCAACTTTTTTTATAGGGATGTTTGGTTGGAACAAGAAAATATTTCAGCTATTTGGGAATTATCACAG